GCAGATACAGCTGAGGGTTTGTCTGTCTATGCTGTATATAATATAATGCATGCAATAAGTATTTATAAAATATAAATTAATTTATTTTTTTTTTATTTTTTTTTTTTTTATTTTATTTATTTTCTCTTTTTTCTTTTTCTAACTTGGCTGCTTCTCTGAGTTCTTTTTTTCTTTGTCTTTCTTCTGCTGCTTTTTTTCTCGCTTCTGCTTCTTTTTGTTTATTTTTTTTTATTTCTTCTTCTTTTTCTTTTGACGCAGTATAGCTTTCTATCAATCCAACAGTAAGATTAAAAACAGGTATCTCTCCTTTTTTTCTTTTGTATGTTCTTGCATCTTTGCTTAAGGGTTTATGAGGGTTTAGGGTTTTGCTCTTGCATGCATGCATTTGCTTATTTTCTTTTTTTTCGGGGCTTTCAACGCATGCATCGTTGCATACACTGCTACCACTGCATGCACTGCTGCTGCTGCTGCTGCTGCTGCTGCTGCTGCTGCATGCACTGCTGCTGCTGCCAGCCCCAAAAGCTTCTTCTTCTTCTTGTAGTACATACTCACAATCTGCGTCAGCTGTAAAAAACCCTAAACGCTCAAACTGAACCACAAACTGCGGCGGGAATTTCTCTTCGCATGCAACATCTGCTTCAATAAACCCTCGATAAACCTGTATATATATACACACCAAAACCCTAAACCCTAAACCCTAAACCCTAAACCCTAAACCCTAGAAGATAAAGGAGAGAAAGATATACAATCGACGAGAAAAAGAACAAGTTCAACACAAAAACTCATTGATCTCTACACTAAACCCTAAACCCTAAACCCTAAACCCTAAACCCTAAACCCTAGATATGCATACAGTAAGAGAATTAGGGTTTATAGCCTCGCGCCAGCTACCCTCGGGTTGATCTGGGTCTTCTTCTTCTGGCAAGGGTTTAGTGAACAGGCGATCATAGAAACGCAACTCAGCCCTACAAAAACACACACACACACACACACACACACACAAACCCTCAACTAGGGTTTAGGGTTTAGGGTTTAGACTGCGTTTTGATTGGCATAGGAAACCCTAAACCCTAATTTGTAAACAGGGTTTGATGCGAAACCCTACCCTGCTGCTAAACCCCAAACCCTAGACCCTAAACCCCAAACCCTAAACCCTAAACCCTAAACCCCAAACCCTAAACCCTAAACCCTAAACCCTAATACGGTACAGCGTATTTAGCTGGGAGCCAATGTATGGTGCCTTTTACTTTTCTTCCGTCGGGGGCAACAGCGCAGTTGAGGGTTTGGGGGTCGTAGCTGCATATGAGGGTTTTTATATTCCCCTCTGCGTCCTTCTCAACCTGCAGAAACCCTAAACCCTAAACCCTAAACCCTAAACCCTAGTCGGGGGATGATTGCGTGGTTCTATCGGAATGCAGAGAGAGAAATAGTATATAATATTCATCACAAACCCTAAACCCTAAACCCTAAACCCTAAACACCCAAGAAACCATAGAAAATATACTAAACCCTAAACCCTAAACCCTAGACTCTAGACCCAAGAAACGAAAGAAACTCCCCCAAACCCTAAACCCCCCTAAACCCTAAACCCCCCAAACCCCAAACCCTAAACCCCGCCAAACCCTAAACCCTAAACCCTAAACCCCCCAAACCCTAAACCCTAAACCCTAAACCCTACTTCTTCGCATTTGATCCAATAAGCTGAGCGCAAGCGAACTTCTTTTCCCGGGGCCAATCGATGAAAGTCTTTTGGGGGGTTTTCTAAGAAATCCTCCGCTTCTATATATAACTCGTTTGTAAACGCCAGCTGTATATACACCACAGATTTCTATATTTATATATATATATATATATATATATATATATATGTATATATATATATATATATATGTGTGTGTGTGTGTATGTGTGTATGCATTAAGATAAATAGAGATATAATAGGAAGAAGAATGGAGAGAGAAAGAAAAAAAAAGGAGACAAGAAAGGAGACAAAAAATTTATAAATCCTTTGTGAGTTCCAGCTGTACATACACCCCAATCCACATATACATGCATGCATGCATGCATGCATATATAAGAAAGATAAAAAAGAGCAGCAAAAAAAAACAAAAAACAACAAACACCCTAAACAAAAAGATATAAAAACAAAGACAGAGACAAACCTAAAAAAAAAAAAAAAAAAAAAAAAAAAA